TGATGACGATGACGATGATGACGACGATAATGACACGCTGATAAGTAATAAAGAAGCCGAAGGGAAGGATATGCATTTGAAGAGTGCCTGGGCCAGGATAAAGAGGTGATTTATCAATTCTAATGGTTTATAATAACCTAGATTGAATATTAATTTATTAAAATGCAGTTTGAAGCAACATTGAATAAATCAGCTGGTGGCGCCATTTTGGTTTAAAATATAAGAATTTTTATAAATAAATAAAAATCTTAAATATATATTTTTTAATTCATATAATTTTAATATATTATTCATATATGGGAAACTGGAATGACCATGTGCATTGATACACATAAAAAATGCTCACTCGCAGCTGGTGGCGCCATTATGGTTTACAATATAAAAAATTTTATAAATAAATTAAAATCTTTGAATATATATTTTTTTAAAGTTTTCATATAATTTAATATAAATTACTCACAATAGGAAATTAGAATGACCACGTGCATTGATACACATTTAAAATGGCACACTAGCCATAAGGGCGAACGGGTATAAGCGTCGAAATATGTATTTTTCACTGCGATGAATCAGTCGTGATTTCGCTGTAGATTAGTTTCGCATTAGGCAAATCGTCCTTATTTTAAACGAGGCTTTCGACAGTTATAATTTATGATTAGTTTAAAATATAAGTGTTTTGTTTTAATTTAAAATTGACCGTTATTTATTCTATAAAGGATTACGGACTCCTCTTAAACAATAGTTTTAAGAAATGGTAGGTTATGTGATTTCTATATTAATCTAGAAGTGAAAACTTGCAACATATTTAGATAATTCTATAAACGTATGCAGGCTTTAATAGAAATAATGCTTGTAGGCCACAGAAATTTTTGGAGATGAAAAAAATAGATTAAACAAATGGTAGTCCCAAAAGAAAGCTATCTCATGGATATACGAAGAATATTGTATGTCACCTATTACAATATATGGCAGATTAAAAATAATTTGAAACTAAAATTATATGGGAGATTCAATCATTTATAGATAAACTACATAAAATTTTAGACTTGAGCAATCATTTTTTTTAATATTATATATAATTGAGTATTTCGGCCAGGCCTCATTAGTGATATGCAAATATTCTCACCCAAATAATTTTTGACATAATTTTAAGAAAAAGGGTATGTAGAGATAAGAACTAATAGTAAACCTCAAAAAACAATCAAATAAATAAGACAAATTAGCGCCTTAAAAAAAAGCTATTAATAACGAAAAAAAAATAAAATGTCCAATAATAAAATATTGTCTTTTTCCTATCAATATATGCTTAAATTAGAATTTATTCTTTAATTTTTTTTATACATAATTTAATTTAGTATAAAAAAAATAACAAACTCGAGAATATAATAGTTCCTGTTTATTTTTTCTTTTGATCCCTACCCGTTGTATCAAGGAAGTACTAGATATAATCTCTGAATTGGTAAATGTCCCCAGTCAAGGATTACAAATTAATTTGGTTTGCTTAAGGATATTATGAATAATAAAAATATCCAAAAGAGAATATAGAATTGAAAAATTTTTCTTTTATGATATCAATGAATCTCACTGCAATAAATACAAAATTTGTCTAATCTGTGTTTATGATCGGTTTCATAAGTACAGGCTCAATACTGTAGTATACACCAATCACTTCTTGCTTAAGAATTTATATTAACATTGTCAAATACGCAAGTAAGCTGTAAGTTGAGCCTTCGCAATGTAATGCTATCATAAAAGGTTTGCGTGGTAGTATTGGACAGGGAAAATATGAAGGTTTCTGCTTATTTATACTGGAACGTAGACTATTGGACCAAATTAAATTTAAGGATATCTGTTTATTAACAAAGCTTTCGCCTTTATTATATGATTTATTAAACAAAATCATTTACTTTGTTGGAATCTTTTCACACTGCACTTACAAAATTTTATACATTACAGACGAGTTTATAGTGTCTTATTTTATATCCGTAATAATTAGAAATTAAAATGAGCCATTGAAATAAAATATATGATCTTAAAATTTTTAACCCGTCGTTTTGGGCATGTTTTCCTCGTCTTAAAATATAAGAAATAATTAAAAACAATGTGTGTTCGGACAAAAGGGATCCAAATAGCCGCGAAATTAAGTCACAATGGGGGGGGGGGCTTCCATATAAATTTGCCCTCAAGCCGCATAATCACCCGTCAAGGTAGTATTGTAATATGTCTTATTAATCATAAAACAACGTCATTTGCCTCATATAACACTTATAGTTTATTACAAAAAATATTGGCAACATGTTTGGTCTCGGCATATTTTTATATTTTCTAGTTTAAACGGGATTGGTATAAAAACACAAAGTCTCAATGGTCTTCAAATCTGATAAGTGTGCCGCATTTTTTTACTGATAAGAGTTCATAATCCAATTAATTTATTTTAACAATTAGAATTGTATAAAATAGTTTTAAGTGGAATAATAAGATAATATTTTCTTTTTCTTTCAAAAAAAAATATAATATTTGATTTTATATTAATAGAAGCCCTAAGAAAGACAAGGAATACAGTAGCGAAGAGGAAGATTTAGATGATATGTTGGAAGACACGCACAGCCCACTAGCTGCCGAATTGAGGGATGCCAGAAATTTAGAAAGTGAAATGGATATCGATGATTACGAAGATGATAAAGACGTAGTGAGTCAAAGGAGAGCGAAAAGGGATACAGCTATAAGATATACACGAGATTTAGGACGTAATACTGAGCTCGCATATTTTGCAGAGGATGAACCTATAAAAAGCGAAGTTTCGCATGGTTCTTTGAAGGGTTACCACAAAAGATCACGCGCGATGGAAAGCCATGGGGGTTTCAAAAGAGACGGAAGAAAGGGATCATCTAATAGGGTACCGGGTTATTTGGTGTACAGGATAATGCACTCCCCAAGATATTTAGCCTTTAGTCGACGCCATCATAACAAACCTGGTATTCAGGCTAATAAAAAAAAGAAGCTCAAAAATTACAATCGCGAACGAGTTATTGAGCGTAGTAGGAAGGTAACTAAAAGAAGGGCCATCCCATCAGCGCATTTCGACGATCCGGACAGTTGGATCATCCTTAGAAGCAAAGGTTTATACATTATATTTTATCTTTTAAATTTAATTTCTATCGCACACATTTTCATTTTTCGTACTATTTGGAATGTTTGAGGCGATCAACGTATAAACGCTTCTAATTAAGATTGGAACCATCATGCGTACTTCTAATCCCTCTTTACGTGTTTCAGTAGGCTCATAGTTTATAACTAATGACTAATTTCATAAATTACTATATTCTATTTAATTTTTTAAAATAATATTAGCGTAATATTGAAATTTAAAAGTTTTAGATGATATATATCATCCATCACTTAGTTAATTAATTAGATTATACGAAATGTTACTCTTTCTTTTAGATGAGAACATGTCCAAAACTGTGATTTTTTTTGGTAATGTTTCACTAATTTTTTTAGAAAATATGTTTTGTACATGTTTTTTTTTAAAAAAAGAGTTTATTGTTTTCATTAGAATTATCGAAATTTGTGAATTTCTTTTTCAAGTTTTGGTCATATCCTGAATATTAAAAAAATTTAGCTTTAAAAACCTTTGATATTAAAGGTTTTGTCGGTTTCCATGCTAAAATAACCCGCAGTCCTTAAAGCGAGTCGTAGGCCAAAATGCAAAATAAGTGAACAAATAAATTGCTACTAAACTGGAAAGTGACCTTCAAAATACAAGGAATATTAAAAGAACCTTTAACCAAAATCTTTTTTTAAAAAAAGACAAACCAAACCAATAACAACTTTTTGATCGGTTTTAAACGAGTTTTGTTTTAAAAAAACTACTTAATCTTATTAGGCTACTTAAAAAAATTGATGTATAAGATTTCGTGAGATCCAATTAGTGAAGGTCGGCTAAGACCGATTCAGAACGCTTCATAATCCTTAAAAAATAAGAAATTGTCAGCTGCTTTCATCAATTTTTGTAATAAAATATTATGCATTTTATTTTGGATAATATAATTAGATAACAGTTTGTTTCAAAATATATATATATCTGAATTCTTAATGCAGTGCAGCCACTTTTCCCCATATTTTTATTATTTTAATGGAGAGGTCTTCATTGATCTTCATTAGAGGCAATGATTTGAATCCATGATATTAAAATTTTCTCATGGTCCCTTTCTTTGCAAATAATATAAATATCACAATATATATTCCCCCCCCCCCTTAGATTCCAGATCAAAAAAAGTTAAGAGAGGGACCACCGAAGAACTGCAAGATATTTTGAAGAAAGCCCAAAGAAAGGGGGAGTCAGATGATGACTCTTCGAATCCGGAGGACGGAATTTTAGATGACAACGACGATGACGGGGATGATCTGACAGAAAATGGGAGTATTTGGGTCGTTCCTGACGATAGCATAACTATTTACTCCTAAAATTAATAACTCACTAATGATTTTAGAAGAAAAAAACACATTTAGAATAAATATTTTTATTAAGATTTTTGTAAGAAAAATTTTGTTAAGTTCTCAGAATAATTTTCTTAAATGTCACTCCCTTTTTTCATAATCAAATCACCTTTTTATATATATTTTTTTAAACTTTGCGAATTTCAAATCATTTTTAAAATATTTTTAGTGTATATGTGCATAGGATTGAACTAAAAATTAATTAAATCTTTTGCGTGCATTAACCAACTTATTAAAGGTAGGAATGATTAAAAAAATTAATAATTATGTTTTAAGATTTAACTTATATGATATGTGTATGAAATATTTTTGTAATGATTATTTTTTTTTATTTTGGTATTTTCGCGATTAAATAACTTATTTAACAAATCATGGCAAAAATATTTTGCATCAAACATTTTTCCTAATTATTTATTTATTCCCGGAAAAATATAAAATAATTTAATATAATAACATGTTCTTATTTAGACGAATAATATATTATATATTATAATAAATAAGCGAAAGAGTTTTATATTAAATATATATAGAAAAAATACGTTTTAAAAATTTCAGTATTTTTTTATTTTACAGTTTTTCGTATGGAGTTGAGCGTACGCCGAATCTTAAATTCAAAAAATGCAATTAGATTTGATTTGTAAGCATTATAACATTTTATGATTTGATTATATAATGTTCTTTAATTTTTGATTTATCATTTTTAAGAATTCATGAAGAAATATTTTATAAACCGCGGGACGGAAAAAATTAATTAAAATTCATTATTCGCCCATTTTGGAAAAAAAAAATTCGAATTTAAAAAAAAAAAAATTCGCGCCGTTTTTTGCCAAGTGAGATTTTTTTTAAAGTTTAAAAACTATTCAAGTCCTATGAAGTCTTATACTTTTTTTTCTAGATGCCTAAAAACTCTGGAATTGATCAGGTAATCAATCACCAATTCTCTTCTTTCCTAACCACGAAAAAATGCCATAAAACAAGCACGGGCAAAGCTATACAAAGGGCAATCATTATCACCAGAACGATCCAAAGTTTGAGACCGCACTCAGAAGGTAGACATAAAAATACGTCTTTTGATGGTTTTCCCGTTCCTTCACCCCTAGCTTTGTCTAAAGAAGGAAACGAGGGGGTAAGATTAGCTCTGTGATCACCTTTAAAATCGACGTTGGCGACATTCGCATCATTATTATCGTTTAGTGATGACGCTGCTATATTTTGATAAAGAGGAGGATTTGATGCTAACATGCTGGACTCAGTAATTTTCGATAGAGGAAATACGATTGGGTCGGAATGAGGGATTATAGATATTCTGGGATCTGTTTTTGCGGATAGATAACGGATGTTTTTGTCGTAGGTTTCGAAAAATTGCTCTTGAGGCGTTAACGCTTTCCGATTTCCGCGATAATCATTGGTGCCAGCAAAATCTGGCAAAGTATTTTGAGTAAGATCTTGACTTGACTCGGTGAAATCTATATATTATATTTTTTTATTAATGATAAATTTGTGAAGAGGATAATTAATCGATTTTTTTAAAAATTTATTTGCATATAAGAATCGCCGAAAACTTGAATTTTTTTTTAAAAACAGGGCTAAGTCGCAACAAAAACCAGCCATGAATCTCGCCTATGAAATTTGGCTAAAGCTATTTTAGCCCAAGAACAATATAAATTATCATTAAAATATTTTATAATAAGGAGTTTTTGTGTGCATAAGTATAAATGGTGACCAATATTCAAGATGGTCCTTTTTAATAATTATTCCTGGTTTAAATATTGTAAAAAAATTTAAGATAGTGCAAAAAAGTGTGCCTATACAATAATATGAATCGAACAATTCCTTATTGGTATAGTACGAACAATAAAAATATTATTCTATTCGTCGTCGAATATTCGCTTCAAAAATTAAAATTCTTTAAAAATATTTTCGAAAAAGCTAAAATGTGGAAATAAAGTTAAAAAAAAATAATAAAAATTTCCGCGAGGAACATGCGTAATAATCCCAAATAATTCGATCGAATAATGGATAAAAAAATTATTCGGCGTATATTTTCTTTATTCGTATTCGATATTTGTATTTATTTTCGCAAAACACAAATCGAATATCGAATAATTCGTTTCGGGTATAGTAAAAAGTGACCAAGTCCTAAATGGTCATTTTTTAAAAGATAAATTTTATGCTTAAATTTGACATTATCTTTAATACTTGCATTTTTAAAAAAAACAGTATTTATAAAATCTTTATAATTATAAATTAAACGAGACTCCAATTTTAATTTAAATATTAATCATGAACAAAGTTGTTGTTTTTTTTCAGAACATTTGTCATTATAGCAATATACAATGAACAAAAATTTAACATATTAATCTATGATTTAAAATATATTTAACTATACAGCCCTACTACGCTAAAATATCATCAATTTGTCCAGTTATTTTTAAGATTGTGTTATATTAGAAATAAAATCTAAATTAGAGGCGGATCAGTCGCGGCCCGACTTTAAAAAGAGCTTGTAGAGAAGAAATCTCAAACTGAAAATATTCATTTTATTCTCTATTTTCAGGGTGTAAATAAAAATTTGATTTTAACATTAGCATAATAATTATCAAAAGTCATTATTTATTCAACCAATCATTTGACATATCATTACCAATGCCTTACGAATATTATTTACAACTTATTTTGGCAGGTTAATTAAAAGAAAATTATTTAGGCGTGCGTTTCCCTTATGTGTAAACATTATTTAAATATTGAATTTCTTTTGTCAATTTATTTGATTTTATAATTTGTATCACTAATAAAAACAAAAAATACTCAAATATATTAGTATTTATTTTTAAATGTAAATATCAATCATTCATGACAAATTAAATATATAAGATTTTATCATAAAAATATTTAAAATTATGGAAGCCGAGAACATTATTTCGCTAAAGGTTTATCATTTGATTTGTTAATTAATTATTAACATCAGGTGGGCAGTCAGCGTTCGACACAATCTGATATGTTCGATTATTTTTTTTGCAATATATCCAAGAATTATTTGCTTGAAGAAATTAGTATCTTCAAGAGATCTTTTTGAGGCTGATATTTATAATTTTTTTGGTAAATTATTTTTAATTTTTTATTGACTTAAATTGAATGATATCTGTTAGTATCCTGGCTACCCTAAATAAGCTCCTTTTCTTCAAATATGACTTAAACATACCTGTATAATATTTATTCATGTGTTCTATCTACTCTCATTAAGATCCTCCGGAGTACAAAGTGATTATTCATAAAATATTATTCGTTCCTTTTGCACTATTTATAATTCTAATCATTTAGAGTGGATTAAAATATATGAGGCGAAGCGCTTTTAATGAGTTTTAAAATAATTTTAGAAATCACCATACTAATAATATTTTCCTCATCTTCAATATGCTTTATAATCCGCAATTACGCTGATGTTTTTTTCAGATTGTAAATTTAATTATTTTATTTTTGTAAAATATTTACAATTTTACTTTCCATGTATTATAAAAAAAAGTGTTATTCTTGATATTACTAAGACGATATATATTAAACCTTACCTTTATAAAATAATTTCATAAATTCCATCTTTAAAAAAAATGTGACATTCATTCAAACAAAAGGATGGAAATATGATGGGCAGGTCTATGTTTTAGTGATAACGTTTCCGTTGCCCCAGCCCAGCTATGCAGGCGCGTAACCAATGGGGGGGGAAAGGGGGAAATTTCACCCCCCATAGGAAATTTGACTGTTTTTCTAAATATTATTTTAAGATAATAAAAAATTTTACCCCGACCCCCGGACCCCCTCTCCCATCAAATTTTTCAATATCAAGCAGAGTTTATCCTTACTGCTAGTTGCATTAATAAATTATTTTCCTATAGCTCACTACTATGTAGAAATTTACAAAAACTAAATTTCAATTTGGTTCAAGTTATTGATTTGGAGGAAAATGTGGACAGGAAAAATGAATGTAGTTGAATATTTCATAATATTTATATAGACGTTGAATTAAATCTTATAAAATATCCAATTTCATTCCATTCTTAGATACTTTTTTATCGCAAATTAAAGTACGGTTTTTAGATAAAAAACAAGTCTTTGGTAATCTTCAAATTTTATTACCTAAAGACCCTTCTTCGTTTTCTGATGCCATTATTGGTATAATAAATATTTAGCAAAATTTTATTCCTATGATGTTGATACTGAAATCAATTTAATCAGTGAATTCGAATTGTGGTATAAATATTTACTACGTTTATTATTTTACCTGAGCATGCTATTGATGCGCTCAATCGGTATAAAAGGCTTAATTTATTTTGAAGGTATTCTTGCATGTTTGCCTATTACAACATATACGAATGAAAGGACCTTTTTCAAATTGAGAAGGTTGAAAACTTATTTACAAAATACTACTTCTCGGCTAAATGGGTTAGCTATGTTAAATATCCACAGAGATTTATTTCCAACGACAAAGAAAATTCTTGATGAATTGGAAAATTTTCCACGAAAATTAAAAATCGCATTATAATTCTAGTATTTAATAAATTTTTTATATAATATTGTATTTAATAAGTTATAAAAACTTGTTCTTTAAAAAATTTTCTAGTCAATATTTTATACTCACTACAATTAAAATTTTCAATCAAAAAAATTTTATATTTATATTATATGAGAATTTAAGCTGAGGCTAGTTTTTAAAGCAAATTTTATAAAAAAAAAATTGACACTAAACTTTATTTCAATTTTATACTTTTTAAAAAAAATTTATCTATAATATACCTAACTTAAAATAAAAATTGGGTTATAACTTTTATTTCTTCTTATATTCATAAGCGCGAATTAGTAATCAGGAGACCCAAAAGAAAGCGACTACTTACGTCAACGCATAGGAATTCAGATTATAAAATCTAATTTTACACGCCATAGGTTCATTCCCCGAGGAGCCGATTAATCTAGATTTTCTTCTTCTTCCCTAAATTATTTAAACCCCCCCCCCTTCTTCTTCATATAATCATTTGCATTTATTATAATTCTATTATATCTATTATTATACTTTGTATTATGAAGTCCTTGTTTGTTAAATTTCTTGAATTTTCTAGAATTATGTTTTGGACATGATTTTATTTTTATACTATCATTTTGTCAGATTTAATTTGTCTTTATTAATAAATGTTAAATTTAAAAATTAAAAAAAATATTTCTTAAATAATTAATTTATAAAAGGAACCAAAATTCAAATAAAAATTAAAAATATTAATATAATTATTATTGAATTATGAATAATTTAAAAGAATAGATCAAAGATATGACCCGGCCGAAGGTGAGGAAAAAGCTGGCCAAAGGGGGTTTGGAGGCAAAGCCCCCCAAAAAAATTTCCCCCCTATAGGAAAATCCTGGATACGCCACTGCAGCTATGTATCCATATTACATCTCCATTTGCCTTTATAACCGTGGATATATTCTTTGTGGCATTAAATTTAAAAAAATACTAGTACATATTTTGAGATATTTGTTTTCCCTTACAAAAACTCTAATTTATTTTTTCAAAAAATCCTTTGTTCTATAGGTGCGCTGCTTCTATATTGTATTAATTTTATAAAACATTTTTGTTAATAGATAGCGCTATAATATTTATAAATAATGAAAGATAAATAAAGAGCAAATTCTTATTCGATATTTTGAAAATTAAATCACTATTTTATATTTTATAAACTTATATTGTAAAAGGAAAAACTTACAAATCTCAAAAAAAAATGATAAACTACCGAAATATAAATATTTATTGTCATAAAAGACACTTTAAATAAGGCTTAATTATTAGGCTATATAACTTTTGCAATTTTTGTTAAACGTAAAATATACAACAATTAATTTCAAATATAACATAAGATTTAAAAAATAGTATTAATTTTTCATTACATTGTTACAATATATAAATAAAATTAATATTTAAAAAAAATTAATTAAATAATTATATTTATTAAACTCATCAGAAAATATAACTTAAGATCTATGAATATATAAAAAAGAGAAAATAAAGTAAAATGAAATAAAATACACTAAGAAAGTTTAATAATCACTTCTTTCTATTATTTACTTAAGATTTATGAATATTAACGAAAAAATAAAATATAAACTGATATTTATAAATAATTTCGAATGATACGAATAATTTCGAATGATACGAATAATTTCGAATGATACGAATAATTTCGAATAATCAAATAATTAATATCTAATAATAAAACGTTTACTATTGGACGAATATTTTTTCTCATTATTCATATTCGATTCGAATAATTATGATATTCGTAAAATACGAATCGAATAACAAATAATTAGTTTCAAACTCATTATCGGATAGAAATGACTTTTCGATTTTTCTTAACAAGATTATTAATTCTTGCAACTTTTTCTATATGTTAAATGTAACTAAATTATAAAGACCGCGCCCTAA